CAGCATTCGCTGGTTGGGGAATTCTGGGAGTTGAAGTCCGGACATCTTCAAGTTGCCAAGGTTGAGAAAAACTGCTCTACCATTACTAGATGCTTCCATAACTGTTTAAGCAACCTACCCAAATTTGTACATTAAGGGTTAGGCCACCCCAGCTAAGGGGGATAGCAAAATTCTACAGAAGACAGAATCAGGATTCAAAAGGATCTTGACGAGCTGAAAAAGGCTAATTATTGGGCACAGAATGCCTCTCCCCTAGCCTCCTACAGTCTCTTCCGTTCATCCCCATCCTCTCAATATTTGCCTTTTCAGGTTATCGCCTTATGGGTCTAATGACAGCTCTGATGTTTATGGATATGAGTTTATATTCTTTTATCCATAAGGTATAAATGGGAAATTGGCACCTAAAAAAGGTGATGGCCTTATTTTAACCCTGTTTAATATATAAAACTAGATTTTTGGGGGGGTTGTGTTATCTTTAGAACCTCCAACTGGGGTGTGACCAGTGGTGGGTTTCAAAAATTTTCGGAATCTCTTCTGTAGGTGTGGCCTGCTTTCCGGGTCCACTGGTGGAACCTCTTCTAACCGGTTCGGTAGATTTGACGAACCGGTTCTACTGAACTGGTGCGAACTGGTAGGAAACCACCTCTGGAGAGATGTGAGAGGAGGAAAGAGGGAAGGAGAGGGAAGTGGACGGGAGAAAGGAAGGGATAGAAGGAGAAGGAAAGAGACAGAAAGAGATGGACTGTCATTGTAAAACTGAAAATGTGATGTATTATAAAGGAAAATGTATAATAAAAACATTTAAAAAAATTAAAGTATTTTTTGCAAGTAGAACGCTTCCTTCAAATGGGATGGGAAGTCTGTTTTCCCCAAGTGCAACCAAGAGATTGTCATATATTTTTGGAGTTCCTTCTTTGATTGACAAGATTGATTTTGTTTAAAATTGCATATGTATTAAAGCAAGCAAGATGGCTCTGACATAAATTACTTTGATGTATTAAATGAAGAGGCAAATACAATTTTCTCTCTTCATTCTCTCTCGTGCAGCTCGGCAAGACAGGCCGTGATTTATCTTTTTCCTTCTTAATTCTGACACGGAATCTATGCAAAGATTTCGCCGTGGAGCTTGGAGAGCAGAATGCACTGTGTCAATATGTCACTGTTCCTACATCTAACTTTCCTTGAAACGAAGCCATCTTCATTCATTTAAGGCCAAAGCCAGCTGTGCCGTTGAAATGATGAGGTTGTCCTTGATTCTATTTTAGTCTGATAGAATAAAATGGCCCCGCTAAATGGGGAGAGAAAAAGCATCTTTGTCCTCACTCACAACTCCGAGTCTAGGACATGCCATTCCCCAAGGCTGCTTCTAACTCCCAGGGATGGGATGTCAAACTTCTTCAATGAAAAAGTTCACCAGTTCAACCCTTTCCTTTTTCCAATACGCCTCACGGCCCCCAAAACAGGAACCCAGGGGGATTTTCAAGCCCTTTTCGACTTAGGCTGCACTAGATGCTTGATCAACCTAACCACTACCCTGAAACTGGGGATCAGAGCAAAAAGACTTGCCCACCAATTCTGGTTCGAACAGGTCGATGGGTCCCTAATGGGGGGAGCCTATGCCACCCACCTGACCGAACCAGTGAGACTAGAGCTAGTGAATCACTGGGAAGTACCATATTTTTCGGAGTATAAGACGCACCGGAGTATAAGACGCAGCAAGGTTTTGAAGAGGAAAATTAAAAAAAAATAGNGCGCTTTAATCGGGCACGCTTTAGTGGACCGCGGTTTTGTTGTGCCACAAGAAAAACTAAGCCAGAGGCAGGCACGGATTTTCCCTCACTCTATGTTCATATATGTCTCTTTCTCCCTTCTTTCTCTTCCCCCCCCCAAAAAGAAAGAAAACTTTCTTTGCATTTCTTTAAATCCTGTCTGTTTAAAGAAGGCTAGGCTTCTCCAAAAAGCATGAAGCAGATTCCTGGCCCTTACAAAATCACAGCTAATGTCTTCTTCCGGGAAGTTTCTAAATTTCTTAATGTTCTCCCACTTCATCTAAGTATGCAAACCAGGTCTGAATATGCTTAGCTTTCTCTGCCTTCCCTTTCTCCTTTTGCTTTCCATCTTTCCCAGCATCCATTTCCAAAGTGTCCAAAGGTTGACCAAAGGATTTGAGCTTCAGCTTCAGCATCAGAGGTGGTTTCCTACCAGTTTGCCCCAGTTCGATGGAACGGCATGCTCGCCACGCCCTTGAACTGGTTCCCCTGTCACTGCAACATCTTTTTTTTTTTTTACCTTTTAAAATGTTCTGGCATGCGCAGATGTATTTATAGGCCACTGCGTTTGCGTGCGCAGCGAACCGGCCGTAATGCCAACAGAAACTCTTCAGTATCTGTCCTTCTGAAGGACAGTCAGGATTGCTTTCCTTTAGAATTGACTGATTGGATGTCCTTGTAAACGAAAGGACTTCGGGAGTCTTAGCCAACATTCTCAGTCTACCTACAAGGGATGCTAGAAGAATAAAACAGAAAGAAGAACATATCTGTCAGTCGTTCCACTGTTTCTGAAATGCCTTTGTTACATTTCTCTTTTTGAAATTCCCTTCTCAAGCTCCAAAAACAAGAAAGACACACAGAGTTACTTCTAAGCTGAGTCCTTCATTATTCCTCACCTGTAGAGCACAATCTTGCCAAATAAAGCTATTACTTGCATCACTGACGAAATACTCTGAGAACTTCTAGAGAGAAGCTGACACGACCCTCTTTAAACTTCGTTTAAAGTTTATCTAAACAAAGTTGATCTAAACTTTGTTGTGTCTTGTTCCTCTGGAATGCACCCCTCCCACCAGGGAATCCAGGCTAATTCCACTACATCCACCATCTAAAATTGCCAGAGGTGGTAGCAGAAATTTTGAGTCGTTTGGAGAATCGGTAAATACCACCTCCGACTGGCCCCACCTCCATCTATTCTCTGCCTCCTGAGTCTCAGCTGATTGGCTGGGTCTTCTTTTGTTGCCCTGCACAAGAGAACAGAGCTGGAAATCAGGTGAGTGGGGTAGGGAGGGAATAGGATTTTGCAGTATCCTTCTCCTGCCATGCCCACCAAGCCACACCCACCAAGCAGTGGTGGGTTTCAAAAATTGTTCAAACCTACTCTGTGGGTGTGGCCTCCTTTGTGGGAGTGGCTTGCAGCCCATGTGNCCGAATGCTCTTCAAGGGCTGCCCCATGTAGAGCACGTTGCAGTAGCATGAAATACAAGTGGTAAACTAGCAATTGTTTTCAGAATTTCTTTGCAAGAGTTCTAACAACTAAACTAGCATGAAAATGATTTTTTTTTAAGCGTGAGAGCAAATTACCCTGAGATTCCATACTGAGCAGCAAAGCTTTGGGTTCAGCTGCTGCTCACTTGCCAGAAGATTTTTAAGGAGCTTCTTTGTTGGAGGTGCTGTGCTTCCTTTCAGCAGCACAGCTGACGCTTTTGTCAGCACTCGGATGCAAAATAATGAGAGGGTGTGAATGAGGACAACACTTGAGGTGAAATTAAGAGCTCAGCGAAGGCATTTTACAGGAATAATTTGTGTGCTTGCTTTTAATTGAAACATCTGCTGTTCCCTATTATAGGACATGGAGGGCTCTTAATTTGGTTCATGGTATACAAGACCAGAACAGATCCCTGGCAGACTTCAGGTTTATAAGGACTATTTATAAGACAATTTTATAACAGATATCTGGCAAGATTAGTATTGTGCAATCTCTCGGCCTTATTCATACTTCATTATGAGTTCCAGATTCTAGATATCTGGTACAAGTCACAATGGCACAGAAGCATAGAGTAGAGATCTTCTAGTCCAACCCTCTGCCCAAGCCAGAAGTCATTAGGTTAAACTATTGCCATCACGCAAAATGTCATGAATTATCTTACTTGCCCATGCACAATGATTTACCCTTTCTTAAATACCTACAGTATTGTGCCTTCTCAGTTTCTCCATCACATTTTCCATAACTTTTGTTTCCAGAAATGATCCATCACGGAGGGGGGAAAAAATCCATAGATGCAATTGTCTATCTGGAAGTACTCTAAAGCTGGGTTCAATTAAAGCCAGCACTGAATTAAGGCTATGATATGACGATGTATCTATATCTATATCTATATCTATATCTATNCTGGGGAATTCTGGGAGTTGAAGTCCAGACATCTTGAAGTTGCCAAGGTTGAGAAACACTGTGCTAAACCATGATCCCAGCTGCTTGAAAACCCACAACAGCCCAATTCACTAAGCCACAATGTCTCCAAACCACGAAGGCAGGGATCACGCCCCCCCCTCCCTTTTCGCCAAACGACACCCCCGCTTTCGCGGCTCAGCCAAGGGACTCCGAACCCAGCAGCGCCGCGCAGGGAGGGAGGGGGGAATGCCCAAGACGGGTCAAAGCGGCACGTGGGAACGGGGTCTCCGCCGGCTTATTCCCGCTCGAGCAAAGCCCAGGTGGGTCGCTAGAGGGAGACCGGCGCCACCGAAAGCGCCCAAGCCACCGTCACCGAAGCAGAGGCGGGCACTTTGGAAGGCGAAGCCTGCACTTTGCTTTACCCTACGCGGCGGCGGCGGCGGCTTTTTCCGCTTGGCTCCGATGACCTGCGGAAAGCGGAGGCTCCCCAGCCGCAGTTCCCGGGCCAGAAGCGGCCGGGTTTGGTAGCCTTCCTCCGGTTTGGAAGCCCCCCCACCCCTATCACGGGGAAAAGAAAAAAAAAAGCCTTGTGGATGAGCAGAAGCGGAACGGGGGACCCGAGAAAGGTAGGCGGCGGCGCGGCTACCGGGGGTCCTCGCCCTCTAAGCCTTTCCCCGCTCCCCACGGCCCCCACGCGAGACGGGCCCCCGCGCGGGTTGAAGGCTGGCTTCTGCTCCCGCCCGCGCGAGGTATGGGGTGGGGGGAAGCTGCGCTGAATCCTATGATCCCATTTAGATCCCGTCTCCGATTTCCCCGGACGAAGGCTGCTGGGTGGGTGTGGGGGAATGGTGAACTCTCACGGGTGAAAATGGGAGGCGTTCGTTGGTGTTTCTCACCTGGGCTTTCGGGATTTAAGGGTGGGAAAGGTGTGATTGTGTGTATTTGTGTGTGTGTGTGTGTGTGTGTGTGTGTGTGTGTGTGTGTTAAGCCAGAATCTGTGGGGTTTGCTACCTGTGGCTTTTCTGTTCTATAACCTGAGCATTCACTAGCCACTCCTGTTGCTGGTCCTCCCAGGCTCGATTTTTACCATCATCATCATCATCATCATCATCATCATCATCATCATCATCATCATCATCATCATCATCATCATCATCATCATCATCATCATCATTTACTTTATTTATTAAACATGAAACTCAATCAACTCAACATTCAAAAACGCATCACAAATACCATTGACTGGTGCTAATGGTTGATACGGGTTGCTGCCAGTGACCTAGGTATCAACCAAGTATCTTCTTAAGATGTTCCAAGTAGCACAGTTTTTTGGAGTTCCTCTGGCGTTACTGCAGGAAGCTGCAATTTCTTGATGTGTTTTATAAAATTCTTGGTCATGGTACCAAGTGTCCNTTTGCTGCCAAGGACCTGTCTGTCTGTTAATTAAATGCCGTAACTCATCTTTGGCTCGGAGTGTACTTTGGTGTGGAACGAGGGGGGTCAGAACAGAAGGTAACAGTGTTCCGTGCACCTGTGGCATTTAGTCATGCTGGCCACATGACCACGGAAACGTCTTCGGACAGCGCTGGCTCTTCGGCTTTGAGATGAGATGAGTTTACCTTTACCTATAAACACAGCAGAGAAAAGTTGCATCGATTTTGAGGAATGCATTTCGTAATACAGTGCACAGGTAGCGTTCAACCTACAGCCACACTTGAGGCCAACATTTCTGTGGCTAAGCGAAACAGCCGTTAATTAAATTTTGCCCGATTTTACAACCTTTCTTGCTACAGTGAATCACTCCAGTTGTTAAATTAGTATCAGGGTTGCTAAATGAGTCTGGCTTCCCCCATTGACTCTGCTTGTCAAAAGGTCGCAAAAGGGGATCACACGACCCTGGGACTTTGCAACCGTCAAAAATAGGAACCAAGTGCCCAGCATCCAAATTTGGATTCTGTGATTATGGATGCTGCAATGGTCATAAGTTTGAAAATGGTCATACGTTACTTTTTTCAGTGATGATGTAACTTTGAACAGTCACTAAGTGAATTGTTGTAAGTTGAGGACTATCTATATCTCAGGTTCATTTTTTAAAATTCTCTATAGACAACCTAGCGTTAGATCAGAGGGGGCACAACTGTTTTCTGCCAGCGTTGCCCTAAGCCAGGGTAGCCAACCTTTTCCAGATCGAGTGCCCAAAGTGTGTGCATGCGTGGGAATGCACGTGTATGCGCCAGAACCCCCAGAATGCAATGCGGCCCTCCCCACAAATGTGCTTCACCACCTATGCATGTGCAGCAGAGACCCGAAGCTGGCTGGTGAGAGGCCCGCTTGCATGCACGGTGCAGCTGAAATGGGGTGATGGGTCGTGTGCTATCAGAGATGTGCCATAGGTTAGCCGGTTCACCGACAAAACCGCGAAGCCCTTATCCACGCCGACATAAGCGCGGAGGGCAAATCCGTGCCGTCCGAAGCGCTAAGGAAAAAGGCAACCCTAGCGCGACGACATAAGCGCGGAGGCCAAATCCGCACCTTCCGAAGCGCTCAGCACCCTAAACCTAACCCTAACCCTAAACCCAACCCTAACCCTAACCCTAACCCTAACCCTAAACCAAACCCTAAACCAAACCCCTAAACCTAATCCTAACCCTTACCTTAATTTAAATCGGCTTTCTGAAGGCGCGCTGTTTTGAAGCGCCCTTCTGTCGCCACGCTGTTGTCGCCGCGCTGATGACGTTGCAGTGATGACGTTGCGGTTTTAGCGACGCGGTTTTGTCGCCGCTATTTTGACGAGCACGGTTTTGTTGGGCCATGCCGTACCACCACGGCTGAATTCTGGAAGGAAGGCACTAGACTAGAATCAAAGGAAAAGCTTTCACAGGACCAGATAGTATTTTAATATGAGTGGGTATTCACAATTGCCAGTGGTTTGACTCATTCCCCCTCCCCTCCCGCATTTTTCAGGAGACGAACGA